CCGGGGTCTTTGCCCTGTCCCCTTGTCTCCATCCCTGGCGCCTTTCTGCTTCCTGCCTTCCCTGGGATGCCTTGCTCTCGTCTCCTGAGGAGAGCTGAGGTGGGGGGACTTGCCCGTGGCCACTCAGGGGAGTTAGTGGCGGAGCCTCATAGCCCAGAGCCGGGGTGACGGAGCCGCCCTCTGCCCGCAGCTTCCTGGTGGCCCTGGGACGCCGGGCCATCCGCTCTGCAGGGTGCTGCCGCGGTCTGGTGGCAAGTCACGGAGGAGGCGTTTGGCGGGAGAGTATTTTTAAATGCGCGCAGCTCGCAAAGGAAACCGGCGCTCCCCTCCGCCCTTCCCCCCCGCTTCGCTGAGCCCCACGAGCTCGCTACGCCTCCTGCGTGCTCAGGCCCCCTTCCCACCGCAGCCCCAGCAGTGTCTGCCTCCCTCGGAGCGGGCTCCCGCCCTCTGCTTCCTGCCCCGAATCACGCAGGCGGGCTGGGGCTGCGGCTTCGCCTCTGGCAGCTTTCACTGCAGGGCCTTGCAGGCCCCTTTGCCCTGCCTGCTTGTCCCGTGCCCGGCAGGACACAGTCCCGGGTAAACCCTCTGCAGCGCCAGGGCATTGAGGCACAGCTGCAGACGTGCATCGCCCCTGCATTCGGGCCCTCGCTCCCGGCTGGGTTGCTTGAGTCTCAGCCTTGCTCCCCGCACCGCCTGGGTGGCCCTGGGCCAGCGAGGTGCCTGAGCAGAGGTCGTGGGAGACGTCCGCAGCCAGAGATGGAAAGTTTCGGGGGCTCTTCTTCTCGGAGAGGAGATGGACCAAAGGGGACATCCTTAGAGGCAGCCCTAAAGGGACAGGAAATGCCACGCTCTTCCTCCGACATAGTTTCCCCCTCGAAGGGATGCTGCTTTAGCGTGAAAAAAGAAACATCTGGTTGAAAGCCCAAGGTTGTCCCTTCTCAGCTGCCCCGCATCCAAGCCCCCCATTGCCTTGAGGCCTACACGGTCAGCCTGTGCCAGCATTGCCTTGGCCTTTCCCGTGCATCTGTAGCTCCCCAGGGCTTGTTCGTAGCCCTGTATGAACCCCCGGTGCAGGGCACCCCCAAAGTTGATGCGAGCCAGCATCGCTCTTGGTCTACAGGTGGGGAAACTAAGGCACGGCACAGCGGGGAGGGGAGGCCGGATCAAGCATGCATCCAGTGAGCCTCCAAACAAGCACCCTGATCCAGGAGAGCAGAGCTGCTTCGGGGCAGGGACCAGGTCTTTGCGCTCCGTGTTGGTACAGCGCCTGGCACCGTGGGGCCCCGCTCCCTGCCTGGGACTTCTTCTAATTGCGGCCGTCCAGATTAAAAGTGCTACAAAGCTAGGGAGAAAAGAGCTGTCAATAGCTAGCAATCGCCGTTTCGATGAAAAAGGCAATGGGAAGCAAAAAGCATTTAGACAATCGTCTTTCGAGCCAGAATAAATGAGTACGAAGGACGAAAGCGCAAGGCAGGTTGATTGGGGTCACTTCTTCACTCGGTCTCTTAACAGAAGGGACAAGGAGCTGCTCAAATGGGGGGAAAAATCAACTCTGATCGAATAGATCTGCATGGGACCCGTGGAACTCCTTGCTGCAGGAAACGACCTGGGCTTAGCACTTAGCAGGATTTCGAGGTCTGATCGCTTTACGTGTCCATCAAAGATGTCCGGAGCAAACAGGGCAGATCGGGCTTCAGAGAGGGCAGTGGTCTTCAACCTCCTTAGACTTGGGGAACCCCTGGGTGGGCTCTCGGAAAATGCCGGCTCTTTGTTTTCACTCTTGGGTTGACTCCAGAGAAACAGTAGAGCAGATTTTGCCCTGCAAAATGCTCGGGGAGACCCGAAATCTCTGGGTAGCGAATCATGTTTGCGAACCTAGCACCTGGCTGAGAATCACTCGGGTCCTTACCCAGGAGGACTCGGTCCTCCTGATTCAGGCATAAGCCAATTATTGGTTGGAGATGAGAAGGGAATTTCCCACGAACTCACACCTCTGCCTGCAGGCTTCACGCACGTTCCCGGCCCCGGCCCCGGCCCCGACCCCGGCCCCAGTGGGTGACGGGACGCAGGGATGGTGGATCGCAGCCGGGCAGCTCCTCCTCCTCCTCCTCCTTCCTCCAAATGCTAGGCTCGCATAATCCCGCATCCAACGGCACCGCGGGCAGACCCCGACACCGGTTCGTGGGAAGTTCCCTCCTGGTAGCTCTTCCCCAAAGTGGCATGAGGCAGAAGTGTTGCAAGCGCTGGCTTTTGTGGGGAATTCCTGGTCTCGACGTGCCAGGAGAAGGAGTTTGCTCGGACCTGGCGAGGGCAGAAGCATGAGAAACGTGCCTGCATCCTCAGATCCCAGGCGCAGGGCCCTCGGGTCTTTTGGCCCTGCTTTTGTCCAGCCCCTGGCACGCTGGGGTGCTACCCTGGGACGGAGATTGCAGACGACAAGAGAAAATAACCAGGGAAAAGGCCCCCCGGTGACCGCCCCCCCGGGCTCTCGGCGGCTGTGAGTAGGACTCTGACCGTCGGCCACGCAGCCAGGCTCGGACGTAAGCCGGTGGTCCCGGGGCTGGGAGAGATGGGGGATGGGGTGGCGAGTGCATCGGGGGGCCCTGGGACACGCCAGGGGTGCCCTGGAGAAACAGGGCCGCGCAGCAGAGGACGTGACCACGTCCTCCTGGAGGCAGTGCTGGAGCGGATGTGAACGTGTTTCCTGGCCACGTGGGGTGGGGCCCTTCCCAGCCACATCTGTCACGGCAGTGGGTCTCGTGAGCTCAGCGCGGCTGGGCGGGGAGGGAGAGAGGCCTTCGTGGCGTGGCATCCAGCTGCAGGGGCTGGTGGGGGTGGCTCTGCCCCACGCCTGTCACGTGCAGTCACCTGGAGGTCCAGCGCTGTCTGCAAGGGCGGAGGGGCGAGGCCCCAAGTCGCTGCTGGACCAGCTTGGAGGGCTCTGTGCCTCAGTTTCCCTGCCTAGAAGATAGGCTGGGTGGCACTGGGAGGCTTGCGCGGACACAGTCAGCTCTCTGCAGGTGTGGGTGGGATCCCCCATGGGATTTCCAGGAGCCACCGTGTGCACCCAGCTCCTGGGCCCGTGAGAAACTGCAGGCCGCCGCGGACACTTGGCACCCTGCGTGCCCAGGCTGCGTGCCTGGAAGGCGCCTCCCCCAGCTCAGTGCAGGGGAGCGGATGATGTGATGGGTGAGCAATCAAGGGAGGGTCCCTGCTAGCTGTGAACCCGATCCCTGTTTATCCATCGGGTCACCCCAAGCCCTCCTGGTAAAGAAAAAAGACCCTAGTTGAACTTGCAGGTCTTAGGAGTGAGTTTCCCCTGTGCTGGCGGGCCGTTGGAGCAGGGCAGGGAGCTGCTGGGCCCTCCTCGTCTTCTGTGCTCATGCAGCGCTGAGCACGGGGATGTCCTTGCCTGGCACGTGAGCTCCTAGGGGCTGCACCTGGAGCAGTGGCATGGACCCCCGAGATGTCCTGCCAGGGTGGGGCTGTTTGTCCCTGTGTGGCAGGGTGGCGCAGGGTCATGGTGTGCACGGCGGATGTCACTGCGGGGACAGGAAGATCGATTTCCCGTGGGCGTGGGCAGCGGCAGGTTGTTGGCAGTGCCCGGGGAGGCACAAGAGAGGGAGGCAAAAGGAGGCCAGGACACCCAGAGGTGCCAGGCTTGGTGCGGCTCAGAGGGGGAAGCACCTTCCCGGGTCTCCAGCCGGACCCCCTTCACGTGCGGGGTCCCACGATGGTGCACGCGGCAAAATCATCTCCGTCTTCTCCCAGGGCAGAGGTGGGGGCCAGGTTGTGTCAGCCTGATGAGAGGCCCGTTGCCCGCCCCTGCAGCTCCCGGGGGAGTTTTGCTCGTGGCCTCCGTATCGGCCCGGCGAGAGGCATGTGACGGAGGGCGAGATCCCCTGCCCCAGCCAGCACGATAAGCCTTATCAGCACCAGCAAGCACGGGCTCTTCTGATAACGCTGCGTTTCCCGGGCGCAACGCAGAGCCGGAGATGCAGCCACTGCCTGTGCTTTCCCCCCCCATGGGCTCCTGTCCCAGGAGTGTCTTGGCACCTACGCTGTCCCATCTGGCCCTGGTGCAGATGTGCTGAGGCCCGTGGGGGCTGAGCTTCCTGCCTGGGGGTTAATGTGGCCTGTATTATTATAATTATTATGCACATTTATCTCCACAAATGCACCCTTGGATCCCCTGGGCTTAGCGGGGACGGGAGATGTGCGCGATGATGCCGGGCAGCGATGCCTCCTGGCTCTGCACGGCAAAGCTGGGGAGAGGGCAGGGGGCAGAGGAGGTGGAAGTAAAACAGTATCATCTTAGTGATGGGCACAACCTTAGCACGTGGGGGCTTATGGAGGGGTCGGACGGAGCAAACGGAGGCGGCAGGAGGGGAGTCCCCTGATGATGCTGCCTGGGGCTGGCTCGCCCTTTGCAGAACCGGAGCCGTGGGGCTGGCAGGGAGCTGCCGAGGTCACATCTAGTCCTCATCAGCCTGGACAAACCCACCGTCCAACCTCTGAGCAAAACCGCCGTCACCTGTGACACGGCACCGGGCATTGCACCCCGACCCGCCGCGGGGAAAACGGGGACTGCGGCCACCAATGTCCTGCTGCTGCCAAAGGCAAAACCCCACAGTTTGCACCAGTCTGAGTAGGGGGAAAATCCCTTCCTGACCCCAAACGCAGCATCGGAGGGGCAAGACCCTCTGGGTTTGGTGCCAGCCCAGTCCCCATCCTCAGCCTGGGCTGCAGTGTCTCTGTGGGAGGCTTAAAACCCCCCTGACACCTGGAGCAGAAACAGGGAAGGGACAACCAGCAAAGCCCAGAAGTACCATAGCAGAGCACAGGCATCGGCGCACCTAGGTCACCCCCGGCCCGTGGTCATCCAGCTTCTCCAGTGATGGAGAGCCCACCGCTCCCCTGGGCATCCCTTCCTCACCCCTCTGACAGGGCGGAAGTTTTTGCTGGGATCTGGTATAAACCCTTGTCCGTCTCGTCCGCAGGCCGCTGAGACAGAAGCGAGGGACGCCGAGCCGCCGAGATGCAGAGCATCAAGTGCGTGGTGGTGGGCGACGGAGCGGTGGGCAAGACCTGCCTGCTGATCTGCTACACGACCAACGCCTTCCCCAAGGAGTACATCCCCACCGTGTTCGACAACTACAGCGCCCAGAACACGGTGGATGGCAGGACTATTAACCTCAACCTGTGGGACACAGCCGGCCAGGAGGAGTATGACCGCCTCCGGACGCTGTCCTACCCCCAGACCAACGTCTTCATCATCTGCTTCTCCATCGCCAGCCCGCCCTCCTACGAGAACGTGAAGCACAAGTGGTACCCGGAGGTGTGCCACCACTGCCCCAACGTGCCCGTCCTCCTCGTGGGCACCAAGAAGGATCTGAGGAACAACCCCGAGACCATGAAGAAGCTGAAGGAGCAGAACCAGGCGCCCGTCACCACCCAGCAGGGCATCACCCTCTCCAAGCAGATCCACGCCGTCAAGTACCTGGAGTGCTCCGCTCTCAACCAGGAAGGCATCAAGGACGTCTTCACGGAGGCCGTGCGGGCTGTCCTCAACCCTGCCCCGGCCAAGCCCAAAAAGTCCTGCGTCCTCTTGTGAAGGGGGAGACTTGGGGGGTGGGGGGTGGGATCAGAGAGACACCTGAGAAACCTCGTCTCGGCCCCGCTGCCCCCCGCGACGCCAGAATGTACAGCCCCGAGCGCAGGGTGCGGCCAGGACTGCCCGCCTCCCCTTTTCCCATCCGCCCCCCCGCCGTGCGGCCTTCCCATTCAGGAGCAGCTCCCCGCCCGGGTACCACGAGCCCGCGGCTGTTAGCGATAATAATAAAGCCCACGTTTGCACTGATGCCCAAGTTGTCTCAGGTCCCGTTTCTCGGGGGGCTCCCCCTCTCCACTGGGGCGAAGCCCAGGACACCCCTCCGTGCCCGGCCGGACGGAAACCAGCGCCTTACGACCCCGCTGCCCTGCGAAGGGAGCCGTCGAGCCACCTGAGACCACCTGCCCCGCGTCCCTCGCCTTATCGGGACCGCAGGAAAGTGGGAGCCGTGTTTGGGCCCGACGCCCAGATGAGTCCTGCCGTGCCGCTGGCTAACAGGTGCGGTGCTTCAGCAGCACCGGTTGGAGAGCGACGGCTCTCGGGCACCTCGGCTCTCGCCGCGTCGGAAAGGCTTTCTCCGAGTGCCGTCTCGGGCTATTTCCCCGCACGTGGCTTGCTCTTCCGCAGCTCTGACGGCGCCGAAACGGCCCCTTCCCGAGACGCGAGGGCTGGAGTCTGGCCAGCGACCCGTTCCTCGCCGTACCCCGGCGCTTCTGGATGAGCTCCCGCCACGGACCCTCCGGCTGGGGCACGACTGCCCGAAGACCGTCGCACGCCGCCGGCTTCCCCGGCCCCCCTGCTCCGCGCTCCCGGTTTAGGAGGCCGGTGCTGTGCATCTCGACGGCAGGGGGCCAGCACAGCCCTGCTGCATCCAGGGGCGGCCGCCAGCCCTGAGGCTCCCGCGGGCCCTGTCTCGCCGTGCCCTCGGGTCCCCGGTGCCAGGCTCAGCACGAAGCAGGATCAGGCTCCTGGAGCATTATTAGCCCCCCGATACAGGAGGGAAAGGCCTGGTGAGGCGTCCTCGGCTTCATCGGGGAAGAGGGGAAGCTGTTGCCTGCCTTGGGGTTGGCAGCAGGAGGAGGGAAGAGGTCACGTCCATCCCGGCCTGGTGACCGAGGAGGCTGCCTTCCCTGTGATGCCCGCTCCGGGTGGGGCGGAGGGGGCAGCAGGGTGCCGGGGCGCTGAGAAGCCATGCGCGACGCCCGTGGGTCCGGCCGGCCCCGGCGCGGGGCAGTGGGGGTGATGACCAGGAGCTCCCTGTCCCCGTGCCAAGGATGTGGCCGGAGCAGTCGCTCAGGCAGGAGCAACGCGTGCGGCTCCCGGTCTCCTCGCCGGTGCTGCGCCAGGAGGAGCTCACGAGATCGGTGCCTTCCACTTTGCTTGTCCTTAATAAATGGATTTGCCCCGTGTCTCCGTGCCTGGTGGCTCCTTGCTCCTCTCCCCCGACTGCGGAGCATCAGCAAAGCCCCACGCCCAGCCCCGGGTACGACCCTGGGGCCTGGTCCTGTGCGGCGCCGAGCAAATCCCCCTCCGTGCCTACCTGTGCCTTGGCCGGATGGGACAGCCTCGGCTCACGGGGCTCCTGGAGATCCCGGTGGGCGTCAAGACACCCTGCACCCACGTGGCCTCTGCTACTGCCTGGCTGAACAGCCCTGGCCAGCTCCCTTTGCCTCCGGGCTGCAGCCCTGGGAGTGAGGGGGGTTAACTGGTGTTGGAGGAGGCCAGGGCAGCAGCCTTGACCGGCTGGGTTTCCACACACAGGAATTTAATCGGTCTGGGGCTTGGCGCCGTGCCCTACCCACCCATGGCATGGAGGGATCGCACCCCAGCCTGGCCAAGGACGGCGAGCTGTGGAGACCCAGCCAGGCTGGACATCTCCCCCGGGGCTGAGCTCAGCTTTGGAGGGGCAGAAGGGGAGACCGGAGTGTGGCAGCCTCCCCAGGAGCAGGCCAGGCTGGCACTGACCACCCAGGAAGGGACGTCACGCTCCCAGCTCTGCCACTGACCCGGCGGATGCCCCTGGGCACGTCCCTTCGCCCTTCTTCCCTGTGCTGGGGGCTGGACTCCGGCCACCCGGCGCCACGGGGCAGGAGCCGTCTCCTGCCCGTGGGCGGGAGGCGCGTGCTGGCTTGGCCTGGCCCCGAGCCAGCTGGGCCCTGCGTTGCAGGAGCCCGGCTCCGTCCCGCCCCTGCTCGGCGATGCAAAGAGCCCTTTGTCCGGTGGCTCCAGGCAACAGAACCTCATTGTTCCCGGGGCCAAGGGATTTCACTAGCAAATTGCCCCGGGGGGGGAGCGGGCCTGAGCCGGGGCGGGGGAGCGCTGGGTCCGCGCACAGAGCAGACTGGTGCTCCCTTCCAGCTCAGGGCAGGGCTGGCAGCACCACGTGCCACCCCTCGCACCTGGCTGTGGGGCCTGAAGACCTGGATCCATCTCTGCCCGGCCTTGACTCCCTCTGGGATGTCTTGTGCCTCAGTTTCCCCAGTTGTCCCTTGGCGCTAGGCTCTCAGGCAAGGGTGGGGGCGGCTGAGACGGCTCCCCGTGGACGTCCCAGCTCTGCACCCCTGTTGGCACAGGAGGAGGGAGGAAAGCCTCAAGGAAGCTACTGTTATGCTGCTGCCCATCACCACGGCCTCTGGGGTGCTGGCAGGGGAGGGTGAGGCAGCCGGCGGGGAGCAGCTCCCATGACCTCACTGGGTTTTCCCATTTCCAGCATCCAGAGATGAGGTCATGGCCAGCTGCAGGGTGGGGGGCTTTAATGCCTCCCAGCTGGCCCAGGCCAAGCCCCACAGGCGCACGCTAGCAGGAAGGGAAACTGAGGCACGGCAATTACAACCCGGGAGTCCCGGCTGCCGGGAGCTGGATCCCACCCTGGCAGCCAGGAGAGCTGGCCCTGATGTCCCATCCTGGAGTCGGGCCACGACGGACCCCAGCGCCCCTCCCCATCTGGGCACGGGGCCCCGGCCGGACACGGGCCCAGGCGGGGAGCGCTAGCCCCGGGGACCCCCATGACCCGGGCACGTGCTTCCCTCTGCCCTTCGCACCCTCATCCTCCCTCTCTTCCCTGCCCCGTACCCCCAGTCTGCCCCGTGGGGGGCAGTGAGGCCCCCATCAAGGCGCCAGCCAAGGAAGCCTGGACAATGGGCGTCTGTGGAGGGCGGGACAGAGGCGGCTGCCCAACAAGGGGCCTGTGTGCGAGGCAGCGGCATGGGGCCAAAGGTCCCCCCCACCCCAAGCCGTGCTGCCCTCCAGCCCCGCGCCAGGCCAAGTGCCGGGAAGGTCGTGCCCCGGGGCCGCAGGCGGGAGCCACAATGGAGCCAGTGTGGCAGGCCCGAGGGGAGGGAGACCCAGGCATGGGGACAGCAGGGCGCTGGCACCCAGCCGTGATTAACCCCTTCCTCTGCCCCACGGCATGGGTGGGGGGTGGCTGAGCCACCGGGGGCGGGGTGCACAATCCTCACGTTCCTCCCAGCTCTCCAGGGACGGTGCCGCGTCACTGGCGGGAGCCCCACGTGGGCCCTCACGGCCCCCGGGACAGGGAGCCACCACCGCCAGCCCAAGCAGCTTGTGAAGGAGCTCACAAAAATACTCAGTGCTTTATTGCATCCTTGCAAAATATACATCTGGCTGTACAAAGGGCACGCGGGCCAGGCACACACACACACGCACACGCACGCACACACGTGCAGCACGGGGGAGGCAGGGGGGCCAGCCCACACCAGCCGGGCAGGGAGAGCAGAGCGCCGACAGGGCTGTGCATGCAGGGTGCGCGCCGCGGCCCAGCGAGCTGCTGGGAGCCCCGGCGGCGATCAGTGCTGGGCAGGCAGCTGGGATGGGCTTGTGCTTGCGGGGCTCGGGAGCTGCCCAGCCCGGCGGGGGTCTCCCCTCTCTCCGAGCGGTCTCAGAGGCTCCCCAGAGTCAGACGGGGCAGGGGGCAGGCGCCCGTCGACCTGCCGGAGAAGGGGACCATGTCCTGTCTGTGCTGCAGTCAGTGCTTGGGCCGCTTCAGTCAGCCCTGGGTCCTCTGAAACGGGTCCTGCATCTGCCCCTACGTGTACCCGGGGTCCCTGCTCTGCCTGCTGCTGCCCCGGCCTGACCCCTCCTATCCCCTGGGTGCTGTGCTGAAGGAGGCTTCTCCAGCTCGAGCTTCCCCTGGGGGTCTGGCAGTGTGGGTCGAGAGGAGACGGGCGCGTGTGGAGAACCCCCTACCAGCTCCCAGAGACATGGCAAACCAGGGGTTTACCCATGCCCCGGCCGGCTAGCGTGGGATCCACACGTGTCTGGACTCGTGCCTCGCCACCCTACTGCAGGTGGCCCAGGGCCCTGGACCAAGGCCTGTTGCTGGCACGGGGCCTAAACCAGCATGTTTGGTCCCTCAGCTACGCACCCACCACTCCCTGGCCCATCCTTTCCATGCTCTCCCCCTCGTGCCTGGAAGTCCCTGGAAACCTGGCACCCAGAGGCTGTGGGCAGTGACCGGCTTGGCTCCCAGCCCTCCGCTTTGCTGAGCTGCTGGGGCTAGCGCCGGCCCCTCAGCACCCTGCCGTAGGGTCACTTTGTCCTGATCAGCAGGGCCCTGGGGCAAAACAGCCGGGGGGTGATGTACCCGGGGCATTCAGCTGCAGGTGATACAGCTGCCGGAGGGTGTAGGGCTCCAGGCCACGCTGGCGGGGCTGGAAGCTGTCAAAATTCAGCGGTGCATTGGTACGGTGCACGCAGACCCCAGGAGCCATCGCTAAGCCCCCGCCTCGCTGCTGGGCGCCGGCCAGACGTGGCCCCACGAGGCACGGTGGTGGGGCAGTCGGCACTGGGGCTCGTGCCCGGTGCTTCCCACCTGCGCTGGATTCACGGGCGCAGGAGCAAGAGCAAGGCAGGCGGCCAGGAGGAGGGGCTGCCGTGCTGTAGCCGATTCCCCTCTGAATGGTCCGGCTGCTCCTCTCCATCCAGCTGGGCTCCAACTTGGGGCAAGAGCCGCTTCACTCAGCCCGGCAGAGCGAACCCAGGGTGCGCGGGGGACCCAGCCCCCGGCTGCCCATAACTTGGCCGGGAAGCTCAGGAGAGCAGCAAGGGGGATGTGGGCGAGGACAGCAGTGAGACCAGGCTGATGCCAAGCTCAGGCCCTTCCTAGAGGTGCTGGCCTGGGCCTTGAGACTCCCACAAGCAGAGACGCCTTCTTTGCAGGGGGTTTCCTCCAGCCTTCTTCCCCGCCACGGCCCAGAGAGGGGACCTTGGGCAGGCCGGGAGCTGCTAGGCAGAAAACCGTGCTCACGGAGGACTCCCAGCCGGCCGCCAGCTCTGCCCTTCAACTGGGGCCGCGATTGTTCCACGCTCGCGACGGTTGTTGCAGAGGCGCAGCCGCAGCGACGGGTCGGAGCAGCGTCTTTCGGGGCAGGCACAACCCCCTGCCCCAGCCGGCTGTTTGGCGGCACCGTTCGCCATTGCAAACGCAGTGGTGCTGCAAGCCTGCCCGGGGGCTCCAGAGACGTAGCCTGAACGCCCTCCCTGTTCTCCTGTCACGCCAGGGCTCTCCCCGGACGCCCGCGGCTCACCACGGCAGTAGGAGTCCCGGAGCGATTGTCGGGCAGGAAGCGTCGGCTAGAAGTGCTTGTCCTCCGGCAGCGAGCTGACCACCAGCTCCTTGTTGCCGAAGTCCCAGAAGGCCGTCATGTGGAAGGCCATGTTGGAGAGGACCACCAGGTACTCCAGGAAGGCAAAGATGGTGTAGGCTAGGGGAGGAAGGAAAGGCAAGGGGATGTCAGCGCAACGGCCAGGGAGACAGCCTCGTCGCAGAGGGGCTCCCTCCTCAGGGTCACAAGATGAGGCGACTGAAGGCAAGTGAGACCCTGTCCCTCTCACCGAGGAGCCTGGAGAGGGTAGCAGGACACTCTCCTTTCCAGACGGCCTATTTACAAACCCGGGCCGTGCTGGGAAGAGAGCTGCAACTGCCCAGTAGGAGACCTACCCGAAATGAATCAGGAACCTCTGCCCATTGCTGCCACCAGCACTGGCCTCTCACTTGGCAACCCTGGCAGCTTGCACTGAGGCCAGGCCCTGCGAGCAGGCTGACCCGGGCAGGGCTCCAGGCTGGGGGCCGGATGCCAGCAGGGCAGGCCAACAGGGTGACCGAGTAAGCCCAGCGCTGCAAGCACCAGGCCAGGGTCAGGGCCATTACCTCCGGGCTGGCAGTACCAGTTGTGGTGGAAGTAGACGCACACGGCCAGGGAGAAGGTGAAGAGGTTGAAGAGGAACAGCAGCAGCTTCCACCTGTAGGACTTGCGCTCCTGGAAGAGAGCGAGGGAACAGGGTCACTTGCAAGCACGGAGGCCCAGCCCCTGAGAGCGGTCCGTGCCACAGCAGCCACGTTGCAACCTGTACCCCTGGCCTGTGAGCCTTCAACACCGGGGCAGCAGGCTCCAGGCCCCGCCGGCTGCTGGCACGGGAATGGCTGGACGCGGCAGGGAAAACCCCACGCTCAAAGGCAGCTCCTCCGTGCCAGACAGCTGGCAGATTCCCCCTGCAACCAACATGACTTCCCAGCAGCTACTGCCTCACCAGGCCAAAATGCAGGGTCGCCTGTCTCCCCGCTGGCCGCAGTGGGCTCAGAGACAGGGCTGCACGGGTACAACCCTGCTCCGACACCTGCTCACCAGGTGGCCTTTGGCAAGTCACTTATTCCGCCCTGCAAAACAGGGATGAAACGCACAGGCTGGCACCGTGACACGTGCTCTCATTCAGATCTCCTCGTGCCCTGGGCCTTCTGCTACCTTGCCCACGTACACACACGCCCACCACGTGCTGCACGCCCTCTGCTACCTGCACACACAGACATGCCCAGCCCAGAAGGAAACCACAGGATTTGCCCCAGTTCAAATCACCCAGTGCAGAAATCGTCAGGCCCTGAATAGCTGCACAGACCCCCTGGCAAGGATGGCCCGTGCCAGGCAGCTGCTGCTTATGGGGCTGCTCCTGGCACTGAATTGGCTCAGGGAAGCCCAAGGCAGTTCGGGACCTGCCCGTTCTCAGGATCCTGCCTGTCCTACGCCATGGGCCATCGGTGGCTCCCGGACTAGGCTCTCCTGCTTCTATGCCAACAGAAAGGGTCCCAGAGCCACTAGGCAGAGGCAGCCTGGGGTCCATCCAGCGCTCCCTCCACCCCTGCGTGGGAGTGAGACGGCTCCTGGCCGTGCACCTCCTGTCCCCCGTGCTCCAGCATCGGGTCCCCCCTTCCCTCTCCCCCCAAAAGCTGCCCACGGGCGCAAAACCCTAGGCAAACACCTGGGCAGTCACTTCCCCATGGCATCGGCTGGGAGAAGGGACGGGAGCCACAGGCCCCAGGCTGGAGCGGGGTTTGGAGCTACACCGCTGCCCTCTGCGCGGGCAGCAAAGCAAGGAGCCTGCGGCCTGGGCAGGATGACAGGGGCCGAGGCCAGAGGGGAAAGGCTCCTTCTTACCCCTGTTCCTGGGCAGTGGGAGGGGGGTTTCCCCCAGTCTGACGCTGCAGAAACTCTGCTCCCCCGAGGCCGGTGAGAAGGAGGAAGCTGCCAGCCGCCCCAGCAGTTTCCATCGCCCCAGTGAAAGCGCGACTGGGTAGGCGCCAAGAGCAGCAAGGGAACAGGCTGTCGCCAGAGGAAAACCCAGCGGGGAGGGCCAGCACCATGGCTCAATCCCCAGCTGGGGCTCGACCCCTGCCCCCCGCCACTGCCTCCCCACATGGCCTTGGGCAAGACACGTCACCCTCCAGCACTCTGCCTCCTCCTGCAGGTGGAGGTGAGAAGCGCTTCCCAGCAGGGACGGCCTGATACGGGCCTGCAATGGACAAGGCACAGCACTGCCCGGCCTGGACCAGCTGGGGCACCGTGGCGGGGCTCAGCCCACGCCCCTGATGCTACCTTTCTCCTCCACGAAAGAGAGGAGCGAGCGGCTTAGGAAACCCAGCTCTTAACCCAGGGCCAGCCTCTGCCCACACCTGGCCGGCAGACACCCGCTGGGCCTCCTCTCCAGCAGCTGTGCGGGGAGCAGGCCACACTGCTGCTCCCCAGCGAGGGGAGGAAACGCTCGCCGGCTCCAGCCTGGCCGGCTGGGCCCCCCCCGACCCTGCCAAAGCCAGCGGGAGGATGCCGTGTCATAGCAAACCTGCCCCGGTGCCCGGGCCCGCGTGGGAAACGAGCCTGGGCGGGAGAGGCTGTTAAGTCAACTCTCACACAGGAAAAAGCAGATCACCAACCACCTTGTTTTCATGCAGGTGGAAGAGCGCGCAAGAGCAAACAGCAGCGCTCCACTCCCGCGCCGGGGAGGCGAGCTGCAGCCTGCGCCCCTTTGATCCCAGCCCCCGCCAGCTGCTCTGCCAGGGGTGCCGGTTGCTCCCTGCGTCGCTGCAGCGGGGTACGGAGAGCTCTGGGAGGGTGCAGGAGCCCGTCACGGCCTCTGAGACTTGCTCTGGCTCCGGCTGCAACAAGTGTCAGGGACAGCTCTAACCACACCAGGCAGCCTGAGCTGCAAAGACCCCTGCCTCCGAGCCTGTCCCCAAGGTAAAGGGCATGCCATGGTGGCAGCTCATGCATACAGAGGGGACTCCAGCCCTGAAGCTGGTGCCTGGGGCGCATCAGGGGCGTCTGCCCTGGGAAGCCCCAGCCCCTCTATTTAGTCAGGCAGACGGTCGCCAGCCTCGAGACGATGCATGACTTGCAAGCTTCCTCCACAACACCCCAGTCCTCCACAGGAAGCCCCTGCACGCTCTTAACCCCCTCCGGGTATCTTCTACCATCCACTCAGCCATTCAGTTCTCCCCAGCAAGGCTCGGCTTGTACCCCCCAGGACCTGGGAAAGACCTGACGGCCTGGCTAGGACTCGCGAGACCCTGAGCTGGTCATCCAGCTCCTCCCTGCCTCAGTGATCTGGTCTGTGGAGTGGGCACAGTCCCCACTTTGCCAAGGATGGGAGACTCAGAGAGCGTTTGCAAAGCACACAGAGGGCAAAAGTATCTCTGAGTGGGCAGCAGCGATTGCTTTCCCCCCCCACCGCCAGCCCCAGAGCAGGAAGGAGCCCTCCGAGCCCTGCAGAGGGAAGCCATTAACCCTTTTCCCCCCAGACTTTCCAAGGACCTTTTCCTTCAGAGGCCTTCCCCCCAGATATGTGCTGCTACCAGGACCTGCAGCATCCTGGGACCATATCCGACACCTCCACGCTGCACAGGGCTGTCCCACCCAGCTCAGCATGTGCGTGCTCTGCTTCAGAGCCACATCTGAGGTTCCCACGCGGGGACAAGCGCAGCCCCTGGGCTGAGAACGACATTTAGGGATATTTTTAGCTGGCTCGTCTGAGTGACCAGCAGCAGCAGCAGAGCTGTGCTCTGCACTTGCGGAGCTCTGTGCAGACTGGAGGTGTGAGAGAGGTTAATTTGGGGGAGGGTGCGAGTGTGCTCGTGATTTGGGGCAGCCTCTCCTGGCTCCGAAACCAGCTAACAGCTTCAGCCTCGCCTGTGCGAATGGTGAAAACCCGCTTGCTGACGGCAAGCCCAGGGGTGGGGGGGATGCGCACAGACTGCGTGGACCGCGCTCCCTGCAAGTGCCAGGTGAGCCGAGGGCCTGATCCGATGGGGAAAAGGGTCACCCAGGACCCCTAGCAATGCAGCTTTGAGGCGAATGATTATCTTGCGTGTTGCTGGCCCAAAGCACCGATGCAAGCATGAATGCTAGGAACCGCCCTGCCCACCACCTCTGGGGATGGACATGGTTATGTGCTTAAAAGCAGCATAGAAATGAGCAAGTCAAGGCAACCCCCAAATGCAAAAGCAGGGGGAAGCTCAGCTATGCTGACCTCACAGCAGGGGACCCAAATCTGTGGCAAAGGCTGTGCACCCTGTACACGAATGGCAGCACCTCCACCTGCCTGCTGCTCTCGAGTCTCCTGTTCACACCACCCCGACCTGCTCCATCCGAGAGCCCAGGCCGCGGCACAGGAGACAGCGAAACAGGTCTGCTGAGGGAACTGACCCGAGATAACTGTGCGCCTGGAGCTGCCCAGGGATCGGGCGGTGGCAAGCGCGGCGCCCAGCGATGCCAGCTGCCACTAGAGCAAGACTGGCATGTGCATGGGCAGGTTGACGGGACACAAGCCCAGCGCCCTTCCCGGCGCTGGCTCCAACTCCCCTCAAGGCTGAGCCTGGGAACGGGGAAATGATGGAAGAGGGGAGGCTCCTGCACAGCCACCCCTGAGCACCTGGGGTCAGAAGGGCCGTGCCCGGCCCCACAATGGAGGCCGAGCTGCTGGCCGTGCCCCTGCTCTCTCCTGCCCCGTTCTGCCTCTTCGGCCACTGCCCACTTCCTGCCCCCCCCCCGGCTTTGCTGCAGCGCAGCTGGGTGCTGAACGCCAGTAGCTGGCACTTCTACTTCCCCATTGCGAGCAGACTCCCCAGCGCCTTCCTGCCCTTGCTCAAAGGCGGTTGCAACACACGCCGTGCAGAGTGCAACGCTTTTGCAAGACGGCAGATTCCTGTCACACGCACAGGCACACGTGTGGTGCAAACGTGGGGGCAGCCGACGCGCTGCACCCT